GTGGATTTGAAAAGACTCGAGGGGAATGCCCAAAGGCAGTTGACAGTGATGGAAGATGAAGACAGAGGAGATGCAGAGGGCCAGACCAGACAGGCATCTAGGGTCATAGCAAGGATTCCCATCTACTTCTAATAAGATGGGAGCTTCAAGATGCTTTGAGCAGAGGACTAAGATGAGCCAACTTCCTTTTTAACAGAACTGCTTTGACTGAAGGGGTCAAAAGAAATTAGCTGGGCATGGTGGCATGTACCTGTGGCTTCAACTACAAGGAGGCTGAGGCAGGAAGTTTGAGCCTGCAGTGCCCTATGATCATGCCTGTGAATAACCACTGCACCCCAGCCTGGCCAACATAGTGAAACTCTGTCTCTAATTTTTCTTTTTAAGATAGAAATAGGCAATATTGCCTTTAGAGCCAAGCTAGAGGGGTGTCTTTACTGGAGCCATGCTTTAGAGGGTCCTGCATAAAGCAAGCACACAATGTATAAATGTACTACAGTATCCAGATCACATTTATCAGAGATTGGGGTTCAATTCTGGGGCAGCACAATCTGTTATTTTTTTTTTTTTTTTTTTCCCTCTCGCGCTTCTCTCTTCCTAACTCCCTATTGACCCCAACAATCTGTTATTTTTTAAATGTGCTCCTGTGACTACCATCTTTCAGGAGCCCCAGGAAACTCTTCACCATTTCTCCTGCCCTATGTGCATCACACTTAAGGTGACCACCTCCAAGCACCATCAAGTATTGCTGCAAACATGGGTATGACCACTGCTTTGGCGGGTGGAAGACTTTGAGCAGTGGGTGTGCTTAATTAAAGGAAATGCAACTTAGTTTCTCTAGTTCTTCCTCTTGGGGAGCACAAGTGCCACAGATAACAAAGTTATCAACTCTACTGTGCAGAGCATCCATGTTCTTGCTTCTTTGTCTTCCACTTAATCATTCTTGAGATATGAAATGCATGGCATTTGTAAAAGTGGCTCATTTAATGGCTAAAGGATACGATTCAATATTAAACAATTCTTATCACTCTTCAATTTGTGTTTATGCAGGTCCAGACAGAAAATCCATGATGGATCTAGGTTCTAGAATATTGTTTTAAGAAATGGTGAAATGGTAATATAAGTGATTGTTGGTTTATATGATAAAATTTAAATATTTTGCAACATTGTCTACAATGACAATGCATCTTACACAAGTCTCATTACTATATTTGAACATGGTACATAAAATGACTGGCTCATTTCCAAACCTTGTTGCCAATTCAGAGGAGCAAAATTTCTCTAAATGGAAATTAATTTTTAAAAAATACTAAGAATTTTAGTAATGACTAATTTCATAAAATTACTAAGAATGACTCAACAAAGGTGATCTAATTGACAAAACTGTCAACAGAACATGAAATTGTATGAAAAGTTTGATTACAAAACACATTTTTCTGAAATTAAGTTTTGAAAAAAAAAAAATCTAGCCGGGCTCGGTGGCTCAGTGTGTAATCCCATGCCTTTGGGAGGCTGAGGTGAGTGGATTGCCTGAGCCCGTGGGTTCGAGACACGCCTGGGCAGGCAAGACCTCATCTCTACAATAAATCAAAATATTAGCTGGGCATGGTAGCGTGCGCCTGTAATTCCGGCTACTCGGAAGGCTGAGGCGGAAGGATCGCCAGAGCCCAGCAGGTCAAGGCTGCGGTGCCGGGAGCGGCCACTGCACTCCAGTCTGGGCGACAGAGTGAGACTCCAACTCAAAAAAAAAAAAAAATCTGTGAGATAAGTATAGAATAATTCATGAATTAATGTCTTTATTGTATTGTTCATTTAAACATCACCTGCACATTAATAGGACACCAAGACCTGCACAATTATAATTCAGTCATCTTTGATATTTTGTTTATTGTCAGTCATTAAAAAAGCCTCATTATTTTCAACAAAAAGGTGTACATTTCAAAGTAGAAGGATAGAAGATGTTTTAAATAAGCTTTGTTGGCTTGATTTATAAGTTTTAAATATTTCGACATATGATGTGTTTCGTCTTGGATGGAATGTATGTTGAGGGAACCCTGGTAGGAGGTTATTGCAATAATTCAGGCAATACATGGTAGGGGCTTGACATGGGTTGTGGCAGGGAAGATATGCCAAGTAGTCAGACTCTGTATACATTCTGAAGGAAGTGCCAGAAAGATTGTCTGACACATTGAGTCTAAGCGTGAAAGAGGAAAATCAAACATCACAAGGTTTTTGCCTGAACAACTGGGTAGAAATTGTCATTATGTGAGTCAAGGAAAGGTGTGGGTGGAGCAGCAATTTTGGAAGTTTGATCTTGTCCTGATAAGCTTGAGATTTCTGTAAAATTCTCTGCAGTTTAACCCTCGGTGCTGTACGTTTATTTGGTAGTCATTAGGATAGAGGCAGGGTAGGAGTTATATTCAAATCCTTGATATGAAAGAAATTCATTCTTGGTTTTTCTCCTTTTGACAATATGGGAGACATGATGTAGCTGAAAGAAGGGAACACTTGCTGCTCTCAAAGTAGAAAGTGGCACAAAGAACATAGAACCTCCTTCCCAAAGCCACTCCCAGCCAACAGCTTCCTTGGTTTGGATGTCCTAGAAAAAGCTCATAATCAACACTAGTCTCAAATCCTAACCCTGAGCTCTTAACTACAGACTTTATCTCAAATGTCTAACAGAAACACAAATCTAAGAGGCTCTCAGATATCATAAATCTTACACATGTATTGTTGCACCCTTCCTGGTTCTCCGGCTGGCTCCCTTTTTCATCAAATTCGGTGATGTGGTTTTTTTATTCTATCTTCCTAGGCTAGTTGGCTTTCAGCTTCTCCAGATTACTCCAACCCAGTGACGGGTTATAAATAATAATGATGATGATGCAAACAAGAGGCAAAATTCTAAGTTCCTGAATTTCATCACTATCCAATCTTCAAGTTGGAAAAAAAAGAAAATTCTAAGTATCACTTCTTAAATCACTTGCAAATTATCTTGCTCTCCCTCTGACAGATATAAGCACAGTCACCACTAAAGCAATATTACAATCTAAACAGTGAAGAACTGCTAAAGAAAGGGAGAAATGTCAGGAGTGAACTTTACCCCAGTTGGATCCTTAAGTGAAAAATGAATGGAACATTTCCAAAATTGGTATCCTACAGAATGCTGTTCCACAGGGTGCTACTTGATGAGTCCTATACTCAGCATAAGATCATGTTCTTGAATCTTTGGGGAACATTCAGTTATTCTCAGCACAATAATTTGATGACTTATCAAATTATCTTTGCCATGAGCAAGCAATATCTCTATCAAATTTCTTCTTTTTACATTTCACTCAACACACAAATCTAAATAATACATGTTTTATAGACAAACTCTTGGGATCATTGGATAAACCCAAATTAAACAAATTTATTTTCTGTGAGAACACCAGAGACTACACTAAGATGCTTTATAAATCTTCCAGAGGGAGATATAGACTATAGCCCTTCCCATATTTATTTGACACAGAACCCATTCTTTTTCCAGTAATTCATAATAAGAGCTTCTAGAAGTGGCATTCCTCTGAACAAGATTTGGGAAACACTGTTCATAGATAGATAAATAGATAGATAGATAGATAGATAGATAGATAGATAGATAGATAGATAGATAGATAAATAGATCTCAAAAGTAAATGATGTTTGTCAAAGTTGGCACAGCAAGATCAAAAAGTTCTCAGTCACCCACTCCCTGGACTGATGCATCAAGATTTGTAAATCTGCATAACTATACCTTCATTAAATCAAATTCAGTTTGGAGTCAATAAATTTGCTTTTTAAAAAATGAAACCACTGAATTATCAAATATTCACAATTATTAGACATTCACATTGCAAATGAATTCCCAAATCTCCACCTGCTCCAGCAATGTTATCTCTGAATAATTGGAATTAAATATTATAGAGATGATGATCACGATGCCAAATAATTTTCCTAATTAAATGTTCTACCATAAAGAAAAGCCAAAATTTAGATCAATAATGATTTAATTTTATTCTTGAATCTTTTGAGGACATTCAGTTCTTCTAAGCACAATAATTTGGTGAATTATTGAATGATCTTTACCATGAGTGAGCAGTATCTTTTTTTTTTTTTTTTTTTTTTTGAGTTGGAGTTTCACTCTGTCACCCAGACTGGAGTGCAGTGGCTGCTCCCAGCCACTGCAGCCTCGACCTGCTGGGCTCTGGCGATTCTTCGGCCTCAGCCTTCCAAGTAGCTGGAACTACAGGCGCGCGCTACCACACCCGGCTAATTTTTTTAATTTATTGTAGAGATGAGGTCTTGCCAAGTTGGCCAGGCGGGTCTTGAACCCGCGGGCTCAGGCAGAGCCGTATCTTTACGAACATTTTTTTTACATTTTACGCAACACACGAGTCTATATAATACATGTTTTATGGGTAAACTCTTACATATTAATAAATCTTAAAGACTAAATCTAGTCTTGTCACGCTGCGTAGCCCCCTTGAATTAAACGAACATGAGAATAGCTCCATTTTGTTGGAAGGAAACCTTCCCATGAGAATAAAAACTTTAAGAAAGACCTTCTGTCTTACTATGTCAGCTGCTAGCTTCAAATTCACACTGAAATAAGCAACACTTACATGATACACAGAAGATATTTCATAAGAATATATTTATTCATTATACATCTTATTCATATTTTTGTATACAAATGTCATTAATTATTTAAAAAAATGAGTAATGCCATTATAATGCTGAACTAAAAAGGTTAGCTACGAAGTTAACAGGCACATGATTTCAAATATATATACATATTTTTTCAAGGAGATGCCTTAAAATAATGGTAATTGACTCTAGGTGACATCATTTTTTATGTTTTCTGTATTATTTATATTATGAAAAACATGGAAGTTGTTTCGTTGTTTTTTTTTTAAATGGAACTACTACTCTATGCTAACTGACGTACTATCCTCAACTCAGACCACAGTTTTGGAGACACACATTTATGGTGAAACTCCCGGAATTTCCTCCGGGTACAAAAGGAACCCAGTGAAAACACTGTCGTCCTCAGCGCTGGCATACACGCCGTTCCAGTCTTTGGACACTTCGAGCCAGACTTGGTCACCTGCACTTAATTTCAAGATGATGAGGAGAGAGGCCTGGTCTATTTCCTGACCATAGAGCGTTTCCCTGGACTTGAACTGCCTCTTATTCCGGGCCACCAGGCTGATCCGAGCAGGTCGGCCCTTCACTGTAACATGGTAGGAAAAGACATACGCGCCAGGAATCGTGCAGTTAAATTTCCCGGTGGCGGGACTGTAGCTCCCCTGGTCGTTGTAGAGAAGCCTGTCGAACCGGATGGGGGTGTAGGGAGGCGGGAATGGTTTGGACAAGGCAGCGCTGAACGCCGCCCTCGGGACGCCGGCCGCCTCGCCTTTGGAGCCCTTGAAGCCCCGAGAGCCCTTCTTCCCGATGGGGCCGCGGACCCCCTTGCTCCCAAGCTCCCCCTTCGGCCCGGCAGGTCCCGGGAGACCGGGAGGACCTGCCTCTCCCCTCTCTCCCTTCACTCCCGGGTCGCCTCTGGCCCCAGGCGGACCGTGGGGGCCGCGCCCGCCCTCCGCCCCAGGATCTCCTGCGCTCCCCTTCTCTCCCTTCACGCCCCCCTCGCCTTTCTGTCCTTTTCCTCCCCTTTCCCCAGAGCCTCCACAGTAGCCCTGCTCCCCCATCGCTCCCTTCTCCCCCTTGGCCCCAGGCCCTCCGCTCAAGCCTGGGGAGCCCACGGCCCCTGGGTCTCCCTTCTCGCCTTTGGTGCCGTTCCCACACGTGTCCCCCTTGGAGCCTTTTTGTCCTTTCACGCCTGCCGGGCCCGTGTTTCCTGTATCCCCCTTAGGGCCAAGTCCACCTGAAATGGGAAAATTAAAATAATGTTTAAAGACCATGAAGGCGATAAACAGTATGCTATTACCACAGAGCTCAAAAAGTGGAAATTAAACCTGCTAAAAAACTGGGACCCAGATGGCACTTTGGGAGGCTGAGGTCGGAGGACTGCTTGAGCCCAGGAGTTCAAGACCAGCCTGGACAACACAGTGAGACCTCATTTCTACAAAAAAAATAAAATAAAAAATTGCTGGATCTGGAGACACGCACCTGCAGTCCCAGCTACTCAGGAGAATGAGTAGGGAGGATCACCTGAACCCAAGGTGAAGGCTGTGGTGAGCCATGAACCATAGCCTGAGCAACAGAGTGGGACCCCAACTCAAAAAAAAAAAAAAATACTGGGACCTGGAAACCCCGTATTTGCCTCAATAGTGGCTATGCATAGAAGGATCTTAGAGTGAGCAATTTGTATCACGCCACATTTTTAGAAGGGAAAAAAGTGAATGCTTCCAACAAGCAGTAACTTATATTCACACCTTGTATGTCTAGTTCTTTTTGTTTGTTTACTTTTAAGACAATAAAGAATATTAGAATGTAGTGGTTCACTGTATTCCTTTATCCTTTGTATGTTGGCCCAACCCAAGTCTTCTCCTAAACCTCCATATTGTCCATCCATACCCAAAGTCGGGCAGGCAAACAAGCTGAAACCCAGAAAGAGTCAGGGGTGTTTATTTTCCACTGACAGCTAGTGAGAGAGGCAGAGATCAGACCTTTTTGCCTAGTCTTCAAACTTCCAGCCCAGGGTTACTACATCCAGTCAGCACATTGAATGTTTGGAAGAATAATGGTTATCTGCACGTTCAGCTTGCCTCTCTGATCATTTTAAATGCAAAGAGGAAGAGAATGAAGGGTCGTACTGCACCTGTGACTGTACACAGTAGGTGCATTTTGTGCTCTACCTTGTTCTCCAGGTTTCCCTGGATATCCTGGAACTCCACTGGGTCCTTGGTCCCCACGTTCTCCTTTAACTCCTAAAATGATACCAAGATTAGCATTTCTACCAACTCTATTGCTAATGATATGTCTAACATTCTATTCACAACCATGTCGCCTTCCAGTGTTTTCTATAACCAAGATGGCTTAAAGGTAAAATAGTGAGGAAAAAGAATGCACTGAAGGTCATTAGGAATACTTAATTCTAATTATGGTAGACCATATAATTCAGCCTGGACAACATAGTGAGAACTTGTCTCTACAAAAAAAAAAAAAAAAAAAAAATCAAGAAATTAGCCAGAAGTGGTGGTGCGCACCTATAGTCTCACCTACTCGGGAGACTAGAGGCAGAAGGATCGCTTGAGCCCAGGAGGTCAAGACTGTGATGAGCCGTGATTGTGCCACTGTACTTTTGCCTGGGTGACACAGTGAGACCCTGACTCAAAAATTAATAATAATTTTAAAAATAATTCATCTTAGCCCTCAGCAATCCTGGGGCTCTTCAAACCACTCATAAATCTCATGACCGCCTGCTTGTGTATACGTATGTGTTGTTTTTTTTCCTGTTATGAATTTGGAATGAGAGTTGAAATGTTTTCTTTATACATCCACATTGTCATGCACCACACAAGTTGAAACACAGAGTACAACATACCACAGTTGGCTAAAACTAGTCATAACAAAAATCCATTTGGGAAGAAAAATGTCCTTGACACAGAGCATCAGGAAAAATCCAATTTTCATTGTGTGTTGGAATATTTAATACACTTTTTGGAAAAATTGTAGAGCTGTGAGAATTCATGTTTAAAAAACTTGGAAGAGCTGGGTTTTCAGCTACTAGCCATATTACCGTAAAAAATATTTTTATACTAGGCCTTGAAAAAAGCCCATCCTGTTATAGTAAAGTCACATCAGATTTATTTTCACTGTAAGTGATTATAACAATAATATCTTATTCTTATTGAATATTTGCTTTGTACTAGGTGTTGTTGCAAGCTCTTACCATCCTTTAAATTTAATCCAGTATTTTTATTTGATATAATTTGTATTTGATATTAACATAGCTGCTTATTTAACATGGAGGCTCATATAACAGAGTACATTTATCAATTGGAATATGTTTAATTTACTTAAATATGTTTAATTTATTTATAGAAACTCCCCTTCAAGAAAGGTAAAGCAGAAATTTTCATTATCATTTTATCACAGAAGAAACTGAAGTATGAAAATAATTTAGAGATTTATACAGAGTCTAGCATAACTACATATAAAATTGGTTGACATCAATTTGCCAACTATATTATTGGCAATATAACTAACATCTTTTGTTTTATTTGCATCGGGGAAAAAGAAATCTCAAGTCAAATAAAAAATAATGAAAATAGGCTCCCCCTAATTTCAGAAGACCAACTAGAAAATTTTACCACTGGACACTCAGCAGTTTTCTAAGGTTCTGGCTCCTTCATTACCACTCTTCATAAAATACAAAATTTGGAAATTAACCCATAGGCCATCAGGATAATACCTGGATACATCTTGAGAGAACCCAACCCTAGATGGCAGTGATGAAGAAATATTGTTCCCAGTCCTCACCAGTATTCAAACATCAACCTTCACCACACAGTCATTCCGGTTCTTCTCAAGTTCATTTAAGGACTTTAATTGCCTACACCGAATTTACTCAATCAAGTAATGATTGGCCAGAATGCAGTCAAAATGCAGTCATTCGACTCATTTAGTTTTTTTAAACTTTCAATCTTAACCAAGAATCCAAGCTAAGTCTGGAATTAAAAAGAAAGTAGAGTTGCCACTTTACAGAAACTGGCTGAATGAATTTCCACTTTTGGTCCTTTATCAAAGCATATTCTTAAGAACTTTATTTTATGATACTTCCCTGTTTTTTCTACACTTCCAGAAGTCTGGCTTCCAAAATGTATGAATCACTGGGGAGGTTCATCACTCATCTTTATTTCACAGGGTTTCCTGCTAACATAATTCAGGCACAAAAGGATTAAATGTTTCCAAGAAGGAAAATCACCTAACTGACAAGTGTGAAGTAGCTCTCTTCCTTAGCATCTTTTTTGAGTAATTACTTCACTGAATGTTCTACCAGAAATGAGTTAGGCAGTTCCTGAGCCATGTGGAGAGTGATGTATAGATGATATTAGGTCTTTTGACATGTGACACTGAGGCTAAAACATTTAACTTGATGGATAGATGGTATTGCTACAGGCTGCCGGCATTCACTGAGGAATTTCTAAATGTTCCAGTGAATCTGTAACCTTTCTTCAATACCTTTAAGCACTCACAGAATCAGGGATTTCCTGGGGCAGAAAGCCTTCTTTACTGATCCACCTTTACTGATCCATTATAGACTTTCTAAGCTGGAAAAGAACTATGAAAGTACTCATAACTACAAATCTTCTGTGATAATAAACAGGGTATAAATATCTAGTCCATTTCCCCTAATTTTCAGGTGAAGAAAAGTGAGTGACTGGTTATATGAGGGTAAGTAGGAAAAAACCCTTTCCCTGAGACCATGTTCTGTGGCTTATAGTCACTTGTCAGCCAGGTGGCTAATGAGAGGTTAAAAAATCACGTATGTGTCTGTCTGTGTGTGTTTGTGTGTGTGATGTTCCCAGGTAAGTTTTAAATTTCTCAATTGTGGCTCTTTATAAAGTTAACATTTTTATATCAAATATAACTCATAATATGCTTTACCAAGTATTCACATTTTTAAAAATTGACCCACCTTTAAGAATCTGATATTTACTTAGCAAATTGTTTTCCTTAAAAAATGATGCAGACATGAGAAGAAATGAATTACTTACCTTTCTCTCCTTTGTGGCCTTTTGGGCCTTGGGGACCAACAACTCCTGGTGACCCTGGGATCCCCATACCACCAGTCTCTCCTTTAGAACCTGGAAATGGATTTTAAACCCATCAGAATAGAAAATTTCTCTTTTGAAATGCATTGGTTCTGGCGGGGAGGCAGTCATTTTATTGAGATCAATAATTGTCAATGTCCTAATGATAAAATCTGGGTGACAATAAACTATCACTGAGTTCTAAGGGCAATATTTTTGTCTGATATGCAATTTTGTACTACCTGAAGAGATAAATTGAGCCCATTAGTCCTTGTCACTGTCCCCATGGCAGTGATCAAATGATTCAGGGAAGCAGCACTACATCAAACAATAAGAACAAAATGATCATCTGACACTTAACCTTGTATGGACCACACTTTCAGATTAGAAGGAAAAACACAATACCTAGGGCTTTGGAATTTCCCATTCATTCACTTTTTATTCATTTACAAGCTATTTCTGAAGACTTCTATGCACCAAGCACCATGCTAGGTGTTAGAAATGCAGCCATCAACATCTCAAAAGCCCCTACTCTCATAGAGCTGAGCGTATATGAAAGATAAACATCAGGAAAATAGCCACACAGATCAATAGAAATTGACACACTGCAATTAATGATATAGAGGAAAATAGGAAGGTCCTAGGGTAGGTTATGGTAAAAGGACTTAATTTATGAGATCAGAAGAGGCCTCCCCAAGAAAATGGTCTTAAGCTAACACTCAAAGAATAGCATAGGAGGTCCCAAAGCTGAAAATAAGTAGATCATTGTTTCAGGAAAACAAGAGTAGCAAGACAATGGTGCTTTTTTGTTTTGTTTTTTTCCTCTATGGTCAATGGTGTTTTTAAGAAACTGGAAGAAGAGCACTATGGATAAAGGTTGTAACCAAAGATGAAAGGAGGCAAAGAGGCAGGGAGGAGTCAGTTTATGCAGGGTTCAAACCCCGCCAGTTCTCCTTGCCCAGCCTGGCAGTCCAGATCCAGTCCTGGTCCCTTCCACAGGGGCCCTATGCCTAGGATAATCATCCTTCCTGCGGCCCCATCCCTGATCAAGCCATAGGAATTGTCTCCAACCCCTGCAATAATCCCTGATTGCAATAATGTGTGGTCAGCCTCTTAGAATGTGAACCATATAGATAAGTGCAATCAATGAAATTATGATATTTCATCTTAGTTTCATCTTAATTATTATAATAAGACTGATGGAATGGGGAAAATTATATTCAAGAGAATTCCTCTTTGAAAGTATATTGTATTTCTTTGAAAGGAAAGCTTTAATAAATGGATTGCAATAGAGGTCAAGGCTGAAGGCAGGCTCAGGTAGTTAAAGGTTAAGTGCCTCTTTCTAGAAAAGGAAGGATGTCAGGGAGGAGAGGTTTGAAGAAAGAATACACAGAGGAGACAGAAGCAAACAAGATGCCCATTACATTTCACTGTGCCATGTGTTCCCTTCTCCTTGGCCCCTAAATGCTTGATATGGTTATACTACAGAGAGATATGATTGGCACAGGGAGCTCGAGGCAGCTGCATACAAAGACACAGGGCAGGGAGGCTGTTTCGTACATCTAGGTGAGATGTGCATCTAAGTTTGATCAGTGTAAATACCATAAGGCTGAGCATAATGGGAAGATCCAGGGCTTGACAGTGTACAAATCTGGTTTGACTTCAGGTTCTGCACTCACAAGGAGTGCAACCTCTAGACCAGAGAAGTCCAGACTTTTGAATTCCCTGGGCTACACTGAGTATCCTTTTGACTTCTCTGTGCCACATTGAGTAAAGAGGAATTGTCTTGGGCTGCACACAAATTATATAATATAATTAGTGTATACACATAATAAGACTTCTTTCATTTTTTATAGTTTTATTATAAAGTATCAAGTTTATTATAAAGAAAAATGAGAACAATATATAACTAGTGGAAAATTTGACCTTGTTCTCATATAACTAATCGATCAATGTCTGGTTCAAAAATTAGCCAGGCGGGGTAGCATGCACCTGTAGTTTTGGCTACTTGGAAGGCTGAGGTAGAAGGATCGCCGAAGCTCAGCCTGTGGACGCTGGGATGGCCGTGAGTGTGCCACTTCACTCGAGCCTGGGTGACAAAATGAGACTCCAACTCCAAAAAAAAAAAAAAGAAATAATGTAAAATGCCTAGTCACTCATGAAACACAGCGAGTACTTATTATAACGGAACTAATGAGAGAAACAGTAGAAAAAAACTTAAATGGAATTTTGCCTTTGCTGGCTGTGAGATATATTGGAATACTTCAAAACATTTTCATTCAGAAACTTTATAAAGTTAGACTCATGACTTTTCAAAGCAGATAGTGCAAAATGTGATATATACCTGCAATGTGTACATGTGTGTAAGTGTACTCAAGTGACCAAGGACTGAAAAATAATGAAGAAAAATTAAAATATTGGGTTTGAATTAGTTTATTTTCCTCTTTCAAGTTTGTTCAATGTTGTCTTTATACTATATTTCTAATTGTTAAAATAGAGAAAGAAAATAGTGGTTTTGAAAACACTGATAAAGCCGGAACAAATATCCCTTTCTGAATCTCAAATGCAGGATCTTTTTGTATCAGGCTCAGAGTATTCCACAAGATAGGACCAGGTCCCTACCACAGCTGATTGTAGACATAAAAATAATTTATTGAGCACTCCATTCCAGGCACCATTGTAAGTTCTTGTATGCATTGTCTCATTCAGTTCTTCTGACGATTTCATGAAGTTAGCATCACCCCTATCCAATTTCACTATCTATGAGTGCACCTGTCCTCACTGTGCTGTGTGTTCCACAATTTTTTACCAAAAACAGCATGACCCCCATGACCCACCTTCTCTATTCATCTGAGCTCACCCTGAGTGACTTTTTTTTGTTTCCCTAGATGAAAAAAGTCCTCAAAGGGAAACATTTTGCCATTGTGCAAGAGGTGAAACAAAAAACAGAAGCACTAAAAGGCACAAAAACTGATGAGTTTAAAAACTGCTGAGCAGTGGAAAAAGCATCTCAATCAATGTACTGCATCAAACAGAAAGTACTTAGAAAGTGACTGAAGTTTAAACATGTAAGAATAAATACACAGGCCGGGCACGGTGGCTCCAGTCTGCAATCCCAGCACTTTGAGAGGGCAAGGTGAGTGGATTACCTGAGTCCACGGGTTCAAGAACAGCCTGGGCAATTTAGTGAGACCTCATCTCTACAATAAATCAAAAAATTAGCCAGGCGTGGTAACGCATGCCTGTAGTTCGGGCTACTTGGAAGGCTGAGGCAGAGAGATCATAGGAGTCCAGCAGGTAAACGCTGGGGTGGCCATGTGTGTGCCACTGCACTTCAGCCTGGACAATGGAGTGAGACTCCAACTCAAAAATAAATAAATAAATACACAAATTTTTTATAAATAAATTCCGGTTTTGGGGGGTCCCGCCTCGTATTTAGAGAAGAGGTTGAACTCTGAGAACAACCCATCTGAATTCAATATACTGTGAAACAGAAGCCCTGTTGTTAATAGACCTCACAGCCTTAGTAAACAGTTTAGCAACCTGCTGTGTCTACTTGACCATGCCCTTGGGGTTATCACCCCCAAGCAGCTTACCAGCCAGATAGGATACTAAGAGTTCTGGTAAGTATGATATTCTCAGTCCCATTAAATGTTCAGTAAGGTTTCAACTACCCTGAAATCTTGGTGCCACAGGCTAGTGTCCATCTCCTTTGGCCCTTAATCCTGCTCTGCATAAAAGCTGAACACATTCCCTAAAACGTCCCTACAGTAGGATAAAATAAGTGAAAAGCTTAATGAGGATGCATAATTGCTGATTTTATAACTTCAAATTCTTCAGGCAGGACACAACAAATATTCATATGCATTTTTTTCAGGGCATAGAGAATTTGAAACTGACATTCTGATCTTAATTTTACCTTGAATTTTCTGCAACAGGACATGCAAAAGCCAAAATGTATTAGAATAAAACTGAGAGTCTATTCATTATGTACATATTAAGGACATCTGAAATTCTAAAGCGCACAACCATGGCGTTCAATGGAGAAAACTGCAGGGCAAGGACACAGTGTTGCCTTAGAATTCTAATAAGCAAACCGAATCCTGAGCTCCATTCTCCTCCTCCTGGCATTTCATTTCTAATCCTCGCTGCAAATAGCACTTAGGAAACCCATCAGCCAGCACACATTCTTACCAGGCAGCAGAAGTTCCAGCTACCCTTTTAAAATCAACCACTAATGAAAAGATTGCACTGGTAATCAACCTGCGCTATGTGAAGGACCACAGCCCCGTGCTGGGGTTGGAAGTCTCTGAGTGAGCTCTCATCAGCGTTCCCCAAAGATCTTTCTGCGGTGATGCACACACTCTCCATCTACACTGTCCAATGCAGTAGCACTGGCTACAAGTAGCCATTGACTATGTGACATGCGGCTAGTGTGTCTGATGAACTGAAATTTTTTTTAGATTAAAAAAATATAGTTCATTTAAAAGTAAATTAGAGAGACAAAGAGGGAGAGAGAAGAGTCACCTCCTCAAGGTGGGGGAGGAGGCCAAAGCCAGGAAGCATGGTGACAGCCATGGCTCAAAGAGCACATGATCACACCAGAGTCTAGCAAGACAATGGCCGAAATTTTTATCTTACTTAATTAAAAAAAATCATTCTTTTTTTTCTGAGACAAGGATCTCACTATGTTGCCCAGGATGGTCTCAAACTACTGGGCTCAAGAAATCCTCCTGCCTCAGCCTCCCAAGTAGCTGGGTCTACAGGCTTATCTTATTAAATTTTAATATTTATTAATAACCACATTGGACAGGTTAGTAGCTAATACAATGGGCTACACAGCCCCCAGTTGCACTTGTCACGATATTATACCTAGGCCTGTCATCGTTTACAAGACAATTAGAGATCTTTGGGGCCATTCCACCCCCCAGCCACCTCTCAACCCTGAGGATGTGAAGGTGAGAAAGATGGCTTTTTGTGTTTTCAACATGGTTTCCTGTGTTTTCAAATACCTGGCTTTCCGGTCTCTCCAGGTTCTCCTTTCTGCCCTGGGACTGATGAGCAGCAGTCACAGCAATTAAAAAAGAAGTCAGCCGGGTCAAGAGTGACATTTTCAAGGGGAAAAAGAGTGGCAGTACCAAAGGCAGAATCCAGGGCCGACAGCTGGGTGGTTGGTTCTGCCATTCCGGGCCTTTCTGTGAAGGGGGTCTCCTCTTCCTCCCGAGGCGAACCACTGGACGGCTTCAGGCCCTTTGGAATCTCTTTTCCCTCAGATTTCTTCGTAAATTTGGTGTAAGGCGTGGTCTTGGCTATTGTGTTCAGACCAGCAACAGCCAAAAGAATTAAAATGGTGCAAAGGCAAGAAAACATCCACATGGTTAAGACTGGAAGGAAGATATGATAGAAAAACGTACACATATTACATGAGGTCACAATGAAAATACTAAGTGATACAAATACATGATTATATTTTTAAAATACAGATATGAACCATAAGAATGAACAGCATGCAAAATATAGAATGATATGTTTGGGGTATATTTTATATGTAAATGTGTGCTTGAATCACAATACAATATTTTATTTACTTAAAATAAGTATTATAGAGAACACTTTGATTCTCCTTTCTGGTTGTTTTTTCAGTATTACATGGTCTAAAATATTGTTCTCGATCATTCAAATTGTCTTCCCAAATAGCAAACATGATCTATAATAAATGCAACATGACTTAATAGCGCATATACCCTGTGGAAAATAAATATCTATAATTTCCTGACTGATCTCACTTAGATTTATAGGAATCAAATACTTGTATTAGAGGGAGAGAAAAAATATTGAGCTGAATAGTTTATTCCAGTAAACTCAATTACTTCAAGAAAAAAATACTGGTGAAATAGTCCTTAAATCTACTAGGGATAATGGTCCCATTGTGAAAGCAATTTTTAAAAATCTTTTGTAATAAATGGAGTGAGAGAGACAATAAAAAATCATAAACTTGGATACGTGCTACATTTTTAGATTCTTCACTTACCATTTAACTCTCCAACTCCTTGCTTAATAATTTGGGGAATTTTTCTAAAACCTCACATTTGTCCTTGTATTATTTTAATGGGGCAAAATGTGTTTGTTGGTTTTTTGTTTTGGTTTGGTTTTTTGCGTGTTTGTCTGAGTCAGAATCTTACTCTGTCAGCCAGGCTGGAATGCAGTGGCACAATCATGGCTCACCACAGCCTTGATCTCCTGGGCTCAGACAATCCTTCTGCCTCAGCTTTCCGAGTAGCTGGGACTACAGGTGTGCACGACCATGCTCAGCTAATTCTTTGACTTTTTTGTAGAAGCCAAGTCTCACTATGTTGCCTAGGCTAGTCTGGAACTCCTAGGCTCAAGTCATCCTCTTGCCTCAGCCTCCATAAGTGCTGGGATTACAGGCATAAGCTACCACACCCAGTCTGTGGTCATTCTTAAAAGGTCCTTATTAATGTCCAGAGTGATATAAGGTTCCCATCAAAGTGAAATTTTGATAGTTCACAATATCCCATCAACTCCCAGCAGTCTAGAGGCTGCTAAAAGATAGACAAGTTTGGAAGTGCACATTTTCTGATATGAGATGGAAGGAATAATTTGGATAAATAGGAAGAGGATAAAAAGAATGAAAATAAGGATAGTAAAAACACTTACAATTTGGAGGTGTCTTACTCTGAGCAGGTGACTTTCATTTGTCAATATTATCAGCTTTCAAAACAGTTCTGCCAGGCAGGTGACACACCATTGTTACCTTCACAGATGAGGAAACACGCACTAAAAGCTTATAAACCTTGCCATGGGTCACACAACCAGTAAGTTATAGATCCAGATTTGTTTAATTTCAGAGCCTAAACCCTTTCCCAAAAATCACGTGGCTTTTATAAGAATGAGATTGAAGAACAATAAATCCAAAGGTACCTTGATTGAACAGAGCTGCAAAGGACCTAGATATAAATCAGTGCAGATGAGGCAGGAGAGAGACAGAATGCTTCACTTCCAAAATCATATAAAGATCCAAAATGCCCACTTTCCTTTCAGTTGTTTTGCTGCCATATCCATCCAGTCAGCCAATATTTATGGTATATTGACAATGTCACAAAAAATTAAAAAATATAAAAAATTATATGTGATGACACCAAACATAAGCCATGGTTTTTATCTTCTGGGAGTTTACAGTCTAGTAAGGACAGATGAGAGATAACAAAGAAAAGAGAGAAAAGTGTGAAAAGACAGCTGATCTCACTGTATCTTCCCAAATACAAAACCCACCCACACACGCACATACACATTTTGGCCAGCAGGAGTGCACACATCAAACATGGATACAATGAATCAATCAGCTAAATCCACCCCTGGCAAAAACTAGACAGCAGAAATATTCTATTTAGATATAAAATAATTAAACTTTCATTGGTTCATGCAATTGCATTCAATAAAATATTCATTTGTTCAACAAATATTTATTTGAGCACCTAAGAAGTCTGGGCAGAGTCTTAGGGTTTTAAAGAAAAATAAAAACCCAGCCCCATCCCTAAAACTCTTCTATGCAGTAAACATTCAAAAATAAGCAGATCCACATATTTAAGCTAAAGAGAAACCGGAAATCGGACGGAAAACCCAAAGTGAAATATGGGTGGCTTTTAATTCTCTCACAACTTTTCTATAAGAAGAATTAAAGTTTGCTGAGTGTTCATGCTCTAAAATGCTTCTAATGTTCTCTTAGAACATAAGAGATTATGTGAAACAATAATCATTCTTTCTCCTTACTAAAACTAATTTGTGTTAGTCTTCCATACATACAAAGTATTTTTTGATCTTGCAGATATATGTGATAGCATCCTGGTAAGCCAGTCATGAGGGGACAAGAATGAGACAGCTGATGCGGGACATGGGAGGGGAAGGAACCAACACCGAGAGCATGGCAGGGATTTTCTTAGCCACTTTCTGATTATTTCAAGTGTACCACAGAGGAATCGTGCAAAATAAGATTTTCTATGTCCATATAATGGATTATAAAACAGAGGCACAAAGAGATTAAGTAACCTGCAAAAGACCAGTGTTAGTAGTACATAGGCAGGCTGGGATTGAAATCTAGGTCTATGTGATGCTAGTCAGCCCAAGAACTCCCCACTATGCCATGTTGCTTGAGAAGCTATAGAAATGACCCTTCATGGAGCTCAAATCTGGGTCGTTCAGAAGAAGAAAGTGACTTCCCACAAACAGGATATGGGAACTCAATGAGAGAGATGAGGAAGGGGAGAGATAAGAAGTCTGACTTTGACAGGGGAACATATTTTGGTGTGAGGTAAGCAAAGTTACAGAGAACACAGCACAAGAGGCTGAAGGGTGAAAGGAATGAACAGAGCTAACCACTATAAGGAAGGCACTCAGTGTCCCCATTTGAGGGCATGAATTGTTCTCATATATGTTCCCTTGCCTTATGTTTTCCTACTTCCCAATTTATTATTATTATTATTATTGTTGTTGTTATTATTTGAGTTGGGGGTCATACTCTTCATTCAGGCTGGAGAGCAGTGGCACAATCACGGACTCAGCAGTCCTTCTCCCTGACCTCAGGCAATCCTTCCATCTCCCGAGTTGCTGGGAACTTCAGATGCATGCCACCACACCTGGCTAATTTTTTTTTCTTTTCTTTTTTCTTAAACGTAATACTGTTTATTTAACTTCAAAAACATTTCAGCATTCTAAACATACAAAAAAAAAAAAACAGAACGTTGCAGATCGTGTTTAAGTACAGAAAGTTCTTGAACTTTCAATGGTGCAGTGGCTTTTCACTTTCCTAACAATGAAGAAATCTAGTTTGTTTCAAAACTACTGCACTTAACTAAAAAAAAAAAAGGGAAAGGAAAAAAAAGCCCAAAGACTTCTCATGCCAGCTGACCCCTTTTGTCCACAGCTAAGAATGGCAGCAGGATGCTACGTCACTATATACAAAACAAGACAACCTGGAGCTACATGGATACCGCCGCAATGTCCACAGGTCCAGCCTCACAGTGCATGCCCTGAGCTATGGCCCCTACAAAGGCATCTTCCCCACAGTCTCGATGCCAACAGGAACGTCAAGAGTTTGTCTCGGTTGTTTTGCTCTTTATACAAACTATAGATATGTACAGCTGAGAACTCAGGATTTCTAGTGCCTTTGCCATTTCATCAAATTTAGCTTTCTCTTTTCCAGACATTGTCTTCCATCTCTCAGAGCACTTATTGGAAAATTCTGCAAAATTGACAGGGACTTCTGGGTTTTTCTTCTTATGCTCTTCTCTGCACGTCTGCACAAAGAAGGCATAAGCAGACATCTTGCCCTTTGATTTCTTGGGGTCACCTTTAGCCATCCTGACTGTATTGTTCGCTAGTCTGGCTTTCTTATTTTTTTGTAGAGACAAAGTCTTACCATGTTGCTCAGGCTAGTCTCAAACTCCTGGGTTTAAGCAATCCTTCCTCCTTAGCCTCCCAAAGTGCTGGGAAAACAGGTGTGAGCCACCACACCTGGCTCCAATTTAAATACAGAAGTTAAAGGGTAATGTTGACATCACTTTAAGATTGTGATCAGGCTCCCAAGAGCTTGGACATGAGGAAAACATGGAGCCTTTCCAAAGACAGTGGAGCAAGAGTTGGTAGTCAATTGATTATGTAAACATATCATTTCTTTTTAATTAGAATTTTTCACGGTTGTGTAAAAACATGAAAACCCAGTCAATAAAATTTCCACAGTGAGCCAAGCAAGTATGAACTTTTGGCCAAATTTTAAGTCACTGAAACAATAAAACTTAAATTAGATGCTAAGCCTGAAGTTTACTGTAGGTATAAATCTTAACAGAAGGGCTAGCAATAAAGATCAAAATAGGAAACTGAGGACCCCAATAAGAGAACCCAAATACAATAAGCCCTTTCAATCATCCTGGAGATGACATAGATGGTAGGCATTTCCAGAGCAAAAAGCAAGGTCTCTCTTGTTTCTGTGTTCCTAGTGGCTAGCATCATGTTTGGCAAATAATAATCTGCTCCATAAGTGTTTACTAAACATAAATGAATCAAATGTAGTAAATTGCATAACATCCCCAAGGTTTCATTCCCAATGTTTTACCACTCCCTTTGTTCACACCCTTTGCTAAGTGGATTTTGTACCACCCCACACCAAAGACATGAGGTCTGTATTCTAGTCCCTTGGCTCCACATTCAGCCATGTGACTTTGGCCAAGAGAATAAGGTAGAAATGACAGGGTACCAGTCCCAAGCCTGGATCTCAAGGTCCCTCCTGTGTTTCTACTTGTTCTCTTGTACTTTTGCCATTAGGATATAAAAGGCCCAGCTTACTGGTCACAGGAGGAGGA